AATAAATCAATTTCAAAGAATATTTAAATAATTAATTTTAAAAATTGATAGATAAATATTTTTTTGAAGCAATGATTTATTAATTTTTCATAGTTATTTCAGAGTTATAAAAGAACACAATAAGTCTCCTTACAAATTAAAAATAAAAATACTACTATGTGTTTAAAATAGTGTTGAAAAATTTCTTAGGTAAGTAACTCTGTATACTAAATTGATAATCCCACATCTTAGGTAACCGTACAGTGCTTTGGGAGTGTGTAAACTTCTTTTTGCTTCAATGAACATATACAGGGGCGTACTGGGGCATATACTGGGGTTTACCGTAGTTGTCTGTAGGAAACAGTAGCCATACAGTGGCATACTGTAGGCGTATCGGGGCCTACTGTATGTAACTGTGGCATGCTGGGGATACATACAGTGGCATACAGAGATTTACTGTATATACAGAGCTAGAATACCGTAGCATACTGTAGGTATACCGTAGATTACTGTGAAAATGCTGTAGGATACAGAGAGAGACAGGGGATTTTCATACGGACAGGGGTTTTAAAAGCCAGTAGTGTGATGTCGATAAAATGAAGGAAGCCAACCAACTTCTCCTTGAATTGCTAGTATTGGCGTAAATCTACGAACACCAAAAAAGTATCGCAACGCACGATGCTGTACAGATTCAATATTATGATGTTTGTCGTAACCCCATACTCCACTGCAGTAATCCAAAATAATTGCCACTCCGCTCATATACATTTTTTCGTAAGTTTTGAATCCTATTGATTTATTCGAATGTGTTTTGTATGTAAGAGCTCCTAGTGCGCGCCCACCCGATTTTGCAAGATTTTCTGCGTTGTCCTTAAATGTGGTTAATTCGTCAAACAAAACACAGTATATTATGGCCCCAGGGTCAGGGGTTCTTTTGATAGGGTGGGACTCTTATGATTATGTAGAGAAAATACATGAATTCTTTGAAAATCTTCTTCTCTGCTCTTGGGTATTAAATAAACTAACTAAATGCAAAGTTATGATAAGCAAGAGTGCCTCTACCAAAATTGTGAATTTTATGGCCCCAGGAACAGGGGTTCTATAGATTATATAGTAAAAATACATTAAAATCTTTGAAAATCTTCTTCTCTGCTCCTAGGTATTAAATAAACTAACTAAGTGTATAGTTATGTTGAGCAAGAGTGCTTTTACCTAAATTGTGAATTTTATGGTCCCAGGGTCAGGTGTTCTGGTGTTAAGGCAGGGCTAGTTTGATTATATATTGAAAATACGTGAATTCTTTGAAAATCTTCTTCTCTGCTCCTAGGAATTAAATAAAATAACTAAGTACATAGTAATGATGAGCAAGAATGCCTCTTTTAAAATTATGAATTTTAGGGCCCCAGGGTCAGGGGTTCTGGTGTTAGGGCTGGGCTCTATTCATTTATATAGTGAAGATAGATGAATTCTTTGAAAATTTTTTCCTCTGCTTCTAGGTATTTAATAAATTAACTGAGTGCATAGTTGTGATGAGCGAAAGTGCCTCTACCTAAATGTGAATTTTATGGCCCCAGGGTCAGGGGTTCTGGTGTTATGGCGGGGCTCTTTTGATTAGTACTCATATGTGAAAATACATGAATTCTTTGAAATTTTTCTTCTCTGCTTCTAGGTATTAAAAAAACTAACGAAGTACATAGTTATGACGAGCGAAAGTGCCTCTACCAAAATTGTGAATTTTATGGCCCCAGGGTCAAGGGTTCTGGTGTCAGGACTCTATAGATTATATAGGTAAACATGAATTCTTCGAAAATTTTCTTCTCTGCTCCTAGGACTTAAATAAACTAACTTAACCCTTTCTCTTCCGGCGCATTTTACGTGATTTTGACATGGCATTATTAAATTATTTCTAACTTTTTTATCCAAGGGGAAAGGTAGGCATAATGCATACCATTTTGTAGGAAATTTCCTACAGATGATATTTTATGACTGGTTAGATACTCAACCACTGACCTTATTAGTAAAAATTGAGGTCAAAGGTCAATTAAGTGCAAAATTTCATGGAAGCTAAATATTAAGTATCAATGATGTATGTTGAAATAGGAAATTTGAGATATACCCACAAAAGAGCATTATACTGTACTACATGAAACACAAACTTTTTTTTCAATTCTGCATATAACTACTTAAAAGGGGTTGCTAAGCAACGCAGAATTCTTTAATTTTTGGGCAGAAATTTTCATTTTTTACTCATCCTAGACACATTTATGCATCCCAGCACATATAAAAGTTAGATGTGAGGTCATAACATTACAAGGGACATACAACAGATAAATTGTCTTAAAGTTTGACCTCATTAGAACTATTTTTAGGAGGTCAAAGGTCAAATAAGTGCAAAAGTTTCATCAATTTTTTTCCAACACTTTTCAATATTCTTGCCATAATTTTACACAATGGATGCTGAAATGGAAAATTCTTAATATACTCTCAAGAAGGGATCAGAACTGCAATATCCATGCATCATTTTAGTTCAAATATCTGTTTAATGACCTTTAAGTGGTTGCTAGGCAACAACTTTTTAAAGTTTTTGGCTTTATAAACATGTTTGTTATTTCACATTCTGGACAAATTCTCAACACTTTTTGTATATTTCATGATATTGTTTGTAAGATATGATGAAAGAACATTTTTGTATTAAAAATTGACCTTGACACTCTTGTTCTTCAGGGGGTCAAGGTCATATCAGTACAGAATTCTGGTTTAAACTGTAAGTAAATATCAATTTTGAAATGCTTCAAACATGGATAAATCATCTAATAGTTGACGTAATAAAAATGGCGAATGACAAAATTTGCAAGCAAAGAATTCTGGTCTGCTTCTTACAAAGCCCTAGCAAAACATGTATACTATTTTTTTGTTAAACAAGAAATCCATTCTCTTGATGTCATTAAAAATAATCTTTATTTTCATGGATTTAATTTAACAAGAAAAAAAAAACTAAATGATTTCAATACAAGATTTTTCTGGTATAACAGAGCTTAAGGGGTACAATAAAGACTTGACATGTTATCTTGGAGGGATATAATAATAATAGATAGCATTGGCAATATTTAACGCAAAACTGTTTAGTCAATAAGTTGAAAATTTGATGCTTATATCCAAATATACAAATCCAGTAATATTGCAAGATGAATTCCAAATCAGACTGAAATCTTCAACAAAATGTTGAAGAGCACTTTTACTTTGTGTCCACCAATGCCATTCTTTTATCAACTGTCATTTCTCTGTAAGACTGGAGGAAATTCTTTGACTTGTCCAAGACATTATTATTTGCTGTCAAGTACAAGTGATCAGCTTCTATCCTGTAAAAGATTTTATTAAGTATTTTGAAACAGATACATGTCATTGTGTATATAAATTTATATTTATAAATAAAATTAAGAATGCTAAAATTACTACATTTATTTGATTTTCCTTTTAAAATTAAAATTGTATTTATTATGTGATCCAAGTAGTTAAATGATATTGTTTAGTCAAATTCAACAACCTTGTAGTAAACCATCATGGTAAAATTACTGAACTAAAACAAATAGCATATGTGGCAATCTGACTAAAGCCAGACCTCTGTTTACGCTATCGCAACATGTAAAAAAAAATCTGGCATTAGATTGCTACGAAAGCCAGGGAGGGACACGTAAATTTTTCAAAAAAGTAAAAAATTACATTGAATCGAATTAGACAATCTAATCCCACGGATTACTAAATTGTTCCCTCGATTTATAATACGAGATCTCGAATTACACAATCCGATCTTAAGGATTACTAATTCTCCCCCTTGATTCATAATTTGAGATCTCGAATTACTTACCCGTAATTTGTTTTCACAAATTGATAATTCAACATCTCGATTTGTTTCAACGTCAGTCTTTATGATTTTGGAAATCTGTGCTCTTGAATTTCAATACATATATGTACAGAAACATCCAACCATTTTAATCAATAAGTGCGTTCTATTTATTTTGTTTCAGCAACCGGTCGTTTCCAACCTCTTTCATAACTAATTCAATGTATATTTATTTTCGAAATATTATGATTACACAGGACCCATATTCACTTTTACTATCTAGGACTTTCAATTATTCTAATATACAAGTAACACAAAAACCTCTAAGATTTTTTGTTGTACAAATATCCGTACTAGCACATGGATTTGAAAATGTTCATGTATTTTTCTCATTTTGGACCGTAATATGTAATAAAAGTTAGGATGTAAAATACTACAATATGCTATTTTTTAAACATGTATTACCATATCCGATATGTACAGATAAATAATTTAAACGAAATCATGGGAAGGGTTTACATTCCGAGGGAATGAATCATTTAAACTAAAAGAATGAATTATACAATCTGAGATAACGGATTGTGTAATTTGAGGGAACGAATTGATAATCTGTGAGAATGAATTAGCAATTTGTTATAACAGATGGTGAATCCGAGAGAACGGATTGTATAAATCAAGAACTCGGTTTACTTTTATAAATTTTAAAAATTCTATGTCCCTTCATGGCTTTCATAGATTTCATACCTGCATGGCTGCCAGGGTTGTAAAAAGAAAGGAGACAATAGACTGCAATGTTACTTCAGGGCAAAATTCCGGGGGCAAGGCTGTTCGTGAGGATGGGAGTGTTGATAAACCATCCAGTGAGTTTGATCACCCATGTATATGATGTACCATAATAGTGTCTGAAAAATGGAAATTCTAACCACATACTTTATGCAGATTGGAAATACAACAGCAGTCTATAAAAACAGCTTGTTCCATATCTCAGGCATTCATTCAGATAGATATTACTGTAACATGTTTAAATAATGTGTCTGTATGAATAATCAAGCATCATAAGTATTATGTGTTTGAAACACTTATTTTTCAAAATATAAATCAAATGTTTATAAACTTGTATGAAAGCGATATCATGAGAATGACACAAATGAAATTAGACTTTATTTTTTGAAATTTTAGAAATACAGAAATTTTCAATACCAAAACAAAAATTTACCTGTTCATTGGTGTCCTTACATATTAATTGACCTTCGTAGTTCATGGTGGGCTTAGAAAGTGGGTATTCACAGATGAAAGTATTGTTGCATATGGTGAAAGCACCCTAAAATTTCAATGTGAAAGTGGTACATGTACACACTGGTACATAGATACTGAAAACAACTATCCATTATTATGACAACTTTGATTTTACTTTGAACTTACGAGTGATTGTTAAAAGCATCAAAGTTCAAAAGCAATGCAAAATTGGCTGAACGATACGAAACACGCACACTGAAACATAAAGATCTAGTACATGTGTACATTTAGTTTTCTTTTGAACGTGAACTAATGCGTTTTAAACTTAAACTTTTCAGTCAATGTACACGTATTCTCACCTGCTAATACCAAAGGCATGTCCGTATTATTATGTTCCCCAAACGAAGTTGGGGAACATATTGTTTTTACTCTGTTTCTTATTATGTTCCCCAAACGAAGTTGGGGAACATATTGTTTTTACTCTGTTTCTTATTATTAAGTCTTCCGTTCACAACGGAAGACTTATAGTGTTTGTATTGTTTCTTTTTATTATTATTATTCCTCCCAAATTTTGTGAGCGCGATTACTCAGAGATGGCTGGATAGATTTTCACAATTTTTCTCATGTAAGTAGGTTGATATACGAAGTTTATATAAAATTCCGTTTTTTGAAAAATTCACTTCCGGTCCGAAGTTATGGCCGATGTTCGAATTTTAAAATGGACTTTTGTCCGGTAGTTTTCCCGGAAACAGTTTGAGGTAAAGATATGAAATTTACAGGAGTATTAGATCATGATATTCTATTTGTTTTGAAGTTGTTTTCGTGTGTTTCCAGTACTTCCTGTCCGAACCGGAAGTGAATTTGATTTTGGTCAATTTTTGATTTTTTGATTTTTAGATATTTTTTCAAGATATTCTTATGTAAAACAGACATTTTTCTACAAATACTAAATACATAATTTGTTTTTAAATCAGATTCCGCATTTTGCATATTTTCGGTACCGAAATTTTCTCTATTTACGTAGTAATTATAAGGTGGGCGAAGAAAGATAACTCTGACCTGTGAATGAGAATAGAACTTTCCAGATAAAGGCGGAAATAGTATTGATGACGTTAGAGACATATGTACGCTCTCCAGATCAACATATTTACACATTCAATATTCTCTTTTGCATGTTACTTAATTCACTATATGCATATTAGTTTAAATTTGGCTGTGTAGTGTTAGTCTGTAGAGTCTATATTGAAAGTTTTTGATTTACAAATTTATATCTTAAAAAATATCCGTTCTGTGTCAACTAAGCACTTTGAAGAAAATAATATTGTACGCAGTATACATTACAGCGATGTATATACAAATTATTCTACAAAAATACTAAACATATTATTTATTCAATCGGATTCTGCATTTTGGAGATTTAAGGTTCCGTCAATAAATTCATTTTCTCTATTTACGTAGTGACAATGAGCAAAGATAGATAACTCTGACTTGTAAGTGGGAATAGAACTTTCGAGATAAAGGCGGAGGTAGTATCCATGACGTCGCAGACGTCTATATCCACACTTTTCACATAAAAAAAAATAATTAGACTTTGAGTTTCCATATCCACTTCTGCATGAAAGATTACGTTGGTTACTGCTTTCAGTCTATGCATAGTTTAAAATTGTCAGCGTATTGTAAATCTATTATGTCTGTTATGATTATATTTAAAAAAAAATATTCTTAATTCATTTTCTAATTTGAATGCGAAATTATCCCGGAATCCGAGTTTTATTTTCGATTCTAAAATATGTACTCAAAAGGGGACTGAAAGAAAGTAGAGTAGGTGTAAAGCCTTTAGAAATAAATTGATATCTGCAACTTAAAAGAAAGAAAATCAATCTTTGGATTGGATTTGGTTTTAACACGTATATTTCATTGATTAAAAGTCTTATAGTGTTATTTATTATACATGATCTATACTTTTATATAACCGAGAAGTTATTAAAGATGAGAAAAAGCGATTCTTGGATTTTTGTGAAATACTAGTACTCAAAGGGTTAACATTATGTGAAAGTTACGCGTTTCTGTGTGAAATAATGCTACGCTAAAACATGATACAAAAACATCTGCAAAGTTCTGTTGATATGTTAGATAAAGTATACGAATGAACACAATTTTATGCAATGCTATATAATTATATGTATGTACATGCAACCTTAAGTATTTTCCTTTTAATTCATAAAACATAAAATTACCGAGTATGTAATTCTTTTGAACCCCCCCCCCCCCCCCTCTTGATTTTATTCGGAGACATTATTGCAATTATAAGCCTTTGAATTATAAATTCGTTATACAATTAAATCTGGAACATTTGGTTATAATTACCATTAACATGTATACAGAATTCATATTCTATAATCGTAGATTTTTCATTACGCAAGATACTGAAATTTACATGTCTGAGAGAGAGAGAGAGAGAGAGAGAGAGAGAGATTCCCTTTTAATCCTGATTATCCTATCCATTTACACAGACAAAAAATCAGTTCTATATCAGTTGTACCCATTCTGTATTAAATATTTTCTGATTTCATAGTCCGTCATAGTCACTCTCTGTATATTTTTTCTGCTTAAAAAGTATTACACTAAGTGCACATGTATTGACCTGTCAATCAAAATCACCGGACGCTGTATGCATTGCAATAAAGTTGTTCGAAATGATTTTTATTAAGTATGACCTTTAAGAAAATCGGATGCAACAAATTTGAGAAATGAAAAATAAAATAAAAATATGGCTAGAGCATCATATATCTGTATTATGGACTTCAGTTGTGGGACGTGGAGACCGGTCCGTCAGATGAGATCGTTTAAATCGAGGTCCCGTGTGTCAGATGGTACTGACTCAAAAAGATTCCTCAATGCTCAATGGCGATTGGAGCCAAATTATAGGACAACATTTTGCAGTCTCCACCGGCGAGTGGAGGCTTCTCCATGTGAAAAATTCTCGAGAGGGACATTAAACAACATATAATCAATAATCGATTGCTGAATAATTCCTGTAGTTGAATAATCTTTCTGCTGACAAATCTCGATAGTATTACTGCAAAAATCAACGACTTTACGTTTAATGTGGTACTAACTTAGTTCATGACATTTTTATAACACCATCACAATTGTGCCAGAACATAAACACAGTGAAGTTTATGAGAGTACGGTGTTCGTTCGTCCGTTGGTTTGTCTATGATACACGTGTAGCTCTTATGAGTGCCAAAATGCATAAGAACAAGATTGGTCATGAAAAGTACTGAAAGACCTTTTTGCAGTTTTTTTTTCTTTCAGAGTACATATGATATCTATGTTTTTGCAGAGAAAAAAGCAAATTCTTACAGATTTAGAAGAACGGAAGACTTATTTGTTGCCAGGGCAACAAGATTCTAGTTAAGGTCTTCCGTCTTCACGGAAGACCTTATAGTGATTCTACTGTTTCTTATTATTATTATTCTTATTTTTTAGACAAATTTTGTGCACGCGATATCTCGAGAACTATTCATCGGTTTTTCATCAAACTTTCAGGGATGACGCGCTCTTATATGCCATTGTTAATTTTGGAAGAATTTTGGAATAACTTGCTTTTGGTGCCAAGTTATGGCCATTTTCCTGATTTTAAAATGAAATTTTGTCAGTTCGAGATCTAAAGAACTACTAAAGATATGAACTGGAGACTTGTTGGAGAACATAGGGCATGACTTCTAGATATGCGGAATGTCCATTTCGTGTGTCGTCAGTACTTCCGGTCGCTACCGGAAGCGAATTAAAAAAATCAAAATTTTCAACTTTTTTGTTTTTCATTATTTTTCTTTGATTTTTCATTGGGTAAAGAGAGACTCTTAAATGAATGCGAAATGTGTAATTTGCTTTAGAATTAAAGAAGCCAATCTCGAGAAATTCGCATTTAAAAATTTGAAGCGGTGTTTCCGATGGCGTAATGGTTAGCACGTTGGATTTCCACGCGGGCGACCCGGGTTCGATCCCCCCTGTGACCGATATTTTTTTACGACATTTTCAGCTAGATTTTTTGTTTTTTATTTCAGAATCGGACGGAAGACCTCTCGTTGCTCGCAACGAGATCGTTTCTAGTTATTATTCTTATTCTTATTTTTCTTCCTGGGAAAATTTTGTCCGCGAGTGTTCCTGTAAACTATACATCCGACTTAGGTGAAACCTTTTTAGGGTAAGTAGGCATGTTATGTAGATTTGCGGAATCAAGGTCATTTTGCGCGCACGTGCTTGCAAGAGCGCGCACGTGCAAAACTTAAAATTAACAATATAAAATGGATATAACCGTAACTTTTCTATTTTGTGACGAAATGTTTTGAAACTTATAATGTAAGGATATATTAGTAGTAAGCACAAGATGACATGGTCAAAGTAGCAAGATCGCACGCGCATGCACGTGCGCTTCTCTCTGATTGGCTGAAACTAAAGTCTCAATATCTTTTTTGTTTTTTGATAAAATCATTTGAAATTTTGAACATAGTCATATATTAGGGAGATCTACAGCCTGTATTATAAGATTTATCATGAAAGCATGTGTATGCACATGTGCTTGCAAGAGCTCGCACGTGCAACACGAGAAATTCCAATATAATTGATACAGACGTAACTATTTAAATTATTGATGAAATGCTTTGAAATTCATATTATAAGTATATATTAGAAGCATAGTCAAAATGACATGGTCAAAAAAGTAAGATCTCACGCGTATGCACGTGCGCTTCGCTCTGATTGGCTGAAACTAAAGTCTCAATATCTTTCTTGTTTCTTGTCATAATCCTTTGAAATTTTGAACATATACCTACATTATGAAGATCTACAGCATGATGTATAAGAATTTTCATGAAAGCATGCGCTTCCCGTGTGCTGCAATCTGATTGGCTGAAACTTTAAATGGCTATATCTCCTTTGTTTTTTGACGAAATGCTTTGAAATTTAAAACATAGTCATGCATTAGGATAGCCTACAATATGATTTAGAGAAAAAATCATGAAATCACGCGCATGCACGTGTGCTGCAATCTGATTGGCTGAAAACTTGAAATGGCTATAACTCCCTTGGTTTTCAACCAAACAGGATGGGATTTAGAACATAGATAGGTATAAAGGCCTCCTATAAGAAGGTATGGTCATCATGCACGTGCACGCACGTGCATGCATTTGGAACGAGTGAACTTAAAAATATACTTAAATGAGTGATTTTTAACACCTTTGGACGAAATGCTTTAATATTTAGTATATTTAAATATATAGAAAGTGTAGACAAGATGATATGATCATTACGCACGTGCATTCACATGGGCACGCGTGCAATGTTAAAATTTGAATATAATTAATATCCTTCTTGGAAAACGTTGT